TGCGTCTGCCTTTATTTAAGCCTTGACCAACCCTCCCTGGGATGGGCTCGCTCCGCGGGGGGTGTTGAGCACATGGGGCTTTGCTTTGAGCGAGCAAGACGATGACGCAAATTGCTTTTTAAGGGCACAAGATAAAACAGCTGCTTCATTCTCGCTGCAGATGTGCTGGGGGCGGCACGCATTAGCTCTGCAGAGCGGGGGGTTACAGCCGTCCGCTCCCCCGTAGTGACTGCCTGGGCAGGGCCACCAGGTTGCTTGGCCTCCCAGGCCACCCAAAAAGGGAGCCAGGTAGGGCCGGGACAGGCTTTGGAGATGCGCGATGAGGTTTGTCGTGCCGGCACAGCTTCCCCGTCCCCAGAAAACACGAGTCAAGAAACTACTTTTTCTCCGGCCCAGGGAAGGTGACCCTCGGCAGCATGTCCCCGTACCCGCCGGCGGCCGCCCTGTCCCGGCCGCGCGGCGCAAGCGGGAGAAGCCGCGGGAAGCGAGGGAAGACACTTCCTCCAGCGGCGGATCTGAGCTCACCTCCTGGCCCTTGATCCCTCCAGCCCGGGGTATTTGGGTCAGCGGGGAAGCACGTCTGAGAGCGACATCCCTTCCTTCTCTCTCCCTGGAGATTCATTTTTAAAGGAACAAATACTACGCAGTACGATTTTTTAATGATGTTTTTTGGAACAATAGCTAAATACCGGGGGGGTTCGGATCTGCGTCTCCCTGTGGTGATGTTTTCCCCTGTTGTTTCTCGCCTTCCTGCGCCCACCTTGCTCTGCTCCGCCGTGCCCAGAAACCTTTTTCTGCTCAGGAAAATACCAGCAAGGAAGGAGCTTTTCATCCTTTTGGGATGGCTTTGCTGGAAAGAAAGCTGCTCTGGTGTCTGGCATGTGGCACCCACCCGGACCGACCCTGGGGGCCCTGCCCACCTCTTGCTGCCGTGAACGTGCGGACATGGTGCTCACAGCCCTCCCTGGCCCCTCGGCATCGCCAGCCCCATCGCAGGTCCTGACCCCCACGTGCCAGTCCTCCGCTGCCGCAGGGTCCCCACTGGTGTTGTCACCCGCTGGCAGGAGGAGGAGCTGGTGGCCGAGGCATACGTGGTCCCGGAGCTCCTCCATCATGGGCACAGCTTGATGACGTTGGGCTGGTGGGCGAATGGGTCACCTCCCCGGTTTTTACTCCGTCTTGAGCCCAGAGCAAGCGGCGCTGGGGAGGACAGCTCGGCTTGGCCGTGTTACCCACATCTATGCTCCCTGGAGATCTTCAGCCACTGTGTTCTCCTGTCATGTTGAAGGCCACATTGCTTTGCACTTACCATGGGCCGGCAGTTTGGCTGTCTTTGTTAAATCGAGGTGGGGAGGAGCAATTTGTGGAGCTTTAGCTGGAGCTTTACCCTGTGTGATCACGTTGCGGGTGGGCTGCTGGTGGGATGCTCTCCTTGGTCAACCTCTCTGCTCCAGCAAAGGGGCTCCAGCCCCATGCTGGGCTCTTCCCATACCCCAGAGCATCCCCAGGACCACCAGCAAGATCCCATCAGCTTTGGAGGGAGCCGGGGCTGCGGGTGGCCTGGGCTCGGTGGCAGCTCGGGCTGCTGCTGTCCCCCACTCCGCTGCCATCCCTGCCGGAGCAAGCGGTGAGGAGTGGGGTACGTGTACCCGGGGGGGTCATGGCTCCCCGGCTGCTGTTTTATTGCCTTCAGGAGCGGCTGCGGGTGGGAGCAGGGTGGCACGGATGTGGTTGGTGTTGGCGTAACTCACAGTGCCAAGCAGGGTCAGCGGAGAGGTGGCTATCGGGGAGGGACAGCATGCATTGAGCCACCTCCTAATGTTGCCAGCCCCCAAATCAGAAGTCATCTCCGCTCCCCCTTGCAAAAGGAGAGTGCTTTAAATGTCCCCCCCCCGCTTTCTTTTTTAACTAAATAAGCGGTTTCTGAAGCATTTGGTGTTTCTGTAAAGGCATCCCTCGGAGAGGGGCTTTCTTGGCCATCGCCAGCCAGGTCCCCTCGCAGCACCCAGCTGGGCAGCTCCAAAACCAGCTCCTTCAGCTGGTGCTCCCGGGAGGTGGTTGGACTCACGGCACCTTGAAGCTCAATCAAGTCTTAACCCGACTCCTGTCCAAGTTCTGTGCAGCTCTTGAGCTCCTTCCAGCCCTGTCCTCAGCTGGATTCGGTCCATCGTTTCTTTTAGGATCTGCTTGATCGCACTGCGCCGCTGATAAGGCTTCGTGCCTCTTGTGGGGGCTTGTCTTTGTGTGTTTCAATATCTCGCCCAGGTTATCAGCCACAGAGGGTTGTGAGGTGTGGCTGGGCCAGGAATTAACGATCTCATCCAAACCCCGTGGAAATCAGAAGCAAAGATTCCCCCCCGCCTCTTTTTTTTTTTTTCCTGTGGGCTTTAAATCAAGTCGTAACTTCTCCAGCATCGGAGGAGCTGCCGAAGGGAAGCCCTGACTCAGGCTGGTTAAGCCCTGTCTGGTTTCCACCGGAGGAATGGCTGCCTCTGCCCTTCATGTCCAGGAAAGGCTAGGAGAACCTTCAATACCGCGTTACACAGATTGCCAAAAATAAACCCTCCATCCCCTGGACCGGATCCAGGGAGTCTGGTTCCGTGTCCGGAGGGACAAGTTTGGGGCTACGCTTCACCTGAACCCTGTTTTTTTGTCCCAACCCGTGGTTTTCTGCCGTGGCTTTCCTCTAGCCTTGCCCTGACCCAGGTGAAAGGAGATTACCACCGTCGCACTGGGGATAAAACAGGGGGGTAAATTGTGCAACCTGCTCTCCGGGGGCTATTTTGGTGTGAATCACGCCAGGACCGGAGCCGGGACCGAGGCAGCTTTCTCCTGCCCCCAGATTTTGCCGAAGTTTCTTTCCAGCACTGGAGCTCGCCCAGCCCTCCCGGCTTCCCGGGGCTTCGCTGGGAAGCGCTGGGAAGACAAAACCCCGCTCTGGAAGTGAGGCTATTGTTCTTACTAATTTTAACTTGATGTTCTTCCCCAAGCCTATTTTTATTCATTGCTTGTGGTAAGCCCTTTCTCTAAGGTAGAGCAATTTGCCACGGGACTCTTTTTTTGTGTTTACCGATTTTAATTGAGCGATATCTCCTTTTTACAAACCCAAAGCTGGAGGAGCTTTTAAGCGCCCATTGCTGAGCCTCTTGCCCAGGGTTTGCTTTGATCTCTGCAGGTGAGTGTGCATTTTTGGGGCCAGAGATTGATACTGCTTATTTGCATGTAAATCTCCGGGTTATTAAGATCAGAATCTGGCCCTTTAAATTTAATACTTTGCTTTATGCTTTTATTTCCGCGTTTCTTAAAGTAATTTCCAAAAATAACAAACTTCAAACATGACGGGGCCATCTAACGTTTTACTGCCTTGGCTGGAGTAGAAGGAACATTTCTGGAAGTATATTATCCAATTTAACGAGCCTTTCCCATCTTGGCTTTGCTCCCACCCCTCACCCCCTCTTGGAGTTGTTTTGGACGGCTCTTTGGAGCCGTGCCACCTAATCCTATTAGAAGGACTTTCATTACACTGTGCCTTGTGTTTATAACCAAGAAAATGAGCCGGAGAGGGGGGTCCTCTCCCTCACCCTTTTGCATTTCGCCTGGTGTCGAGACGAGAGCCTGGCAAGTCCCATGAGGTTCCCGCACAGCCCTTGCTTTTCTTTTTACTGCTCCGCTCTGCATTTATTAAGGAAGACTTCGGAGTAAATTGGGTCCTTGCAAACTTATAATTAATTTGGAAGGGTCAGTTCTTCCCAGGCTAGCGAGGGCTTCTTTGTGTGGTCCTTTTTGAAAGGCAGAGGTTGGAGAGGCTGTTATGTGGCTGGGATTTGCTTTTAATAGGAACCTGGCTATTTTCTGAAAATCTCACGGCTCTTGAAAGACGGGTTGTTATTGTGCGGGGCTGTGTTAAAAGGGTTTGCAGAGCACTTGGTTTGGATACAAAAAAAAACCAACACAAAAAAAAGGAATAAAAAAAGCAAGGAGCACATGTCCTGGGGTCTGTGCGGGGCAGATCACGCTCGGCAGTCCAGAGCCAGTGCCTGAAGCTGGGAGATGCTCCAGGAGGTCCCTCTGCTTGGGTGCTGGGTAGGGCTGGGGGCTCCTTGTCCATCCGTCCATCCTGCCCTGCCCTGCGCCCCGCCAACGGGATTTCTTGCTTCTCCTCAGAGCTAGTAGACTGAGAATTTCTTTCCTTACCACATGGCTTTTCTTGAAAGCCTGCCTTTCCTCCCCAAAATAATCACAGAAACCATTAAAGAGAGAAGGTAGAGGGCAAGGAGAAGATGATGGGCTGAAATAATCTGCGAATAATAAAAGTTTCTGAAAAAAGACAGCCAGACAGTGGTTTTCTCCAGAGGTGGGTCAGAAGGAGCCGTGAGATCACGGTCCCGCTTGGGCATCGCCTGGCAGGGCCTGGGATGTAACCTAACCTGGCACAAACCGCGAGTCTCCCATCAGCTCAGCTGCAACAAGAAATCCCCACTGACGTGGGGCGAGGGAGAGGTGAGGCAGTCCTGGCTCTGGGGAGTGGGGAGCAGTGGGGGATGAGCGTGGTACCTGGGAACACAGAGCTGTAACTCAGGGTATGAAACTCTTCCTAGCCAAAGCCAGGGAGCAGAGGGCTCTGAGGAGCTCGGGGGCCTTTTGGCCGTGGAGATGTCCCCTATGGAAGTGACATCAGTGGAGACGTCATTACCTGCCCAGCAAGGGCCATTAGAAAAAAGCGTTAAAAGCTCGGTGCCTTCCCTAGGAGGGGCATAAAACCTGGCCATGCCTCCATTGCACGGGCAAACAGTGAGACGCTGCAGGTTGAGTCCCGGCCGTGACACCGGCGGGCAGCACGGGTGGTAACCGTGTTATTTATGACCCGCACTGTTAATTAACGGTGTGATGGGTCTCTGCCGAGACCACCTTCAAAGCTGGAGTCGGTCCCTGGTTGTTCCCCTCCTGGCCCCCGTTTGATGTCCCGCCCTGACCATCTCCTTTCTTCTCTCTTTCCCTAGCATGGGTCGGCTCCTTGGCCATGGGCATGATTTTTTTCTGCTCTCCCATCGTCAGCATCTTCACCGACCGGATCGGCTGCAGGACCACAGCAGCCTCGGGAGCTGCCATCGCCTTCATCGGACTCCTCTCCAGCTCCTTCACCAAGTAAGGCTGTGGAGGGGCCATCCAGCTCCTCGGCGAGCTCCTCTTCCTCCCTGTTCCCTTCAACCCCCCCCACCTACACACTGCTGCTGCCTTTTGGGGCAAAGCAGGTGGCTTCCATCCAGATGAGAGGTCTCCTGGCACCCCTACAGCCCATATGCAGCCTAAGTGTGCACAGCCTGTTTCTCTCCAAATTGAACCGAGTTGCTTTTTTGTCCTTATATAACAAGAGAGTGAATTTTACCTGAGTGAGGGACTTTGTTTTATGGGATTTCAGCCCTCAGGTCCTTCATTTGATCTTTAAAACAGGCAGGCAGAAGTTGGCCTGCCTCTTGCGGGCAGCTCCAAAGAGATGCTCGTGGACAAAACCCGTCTCCTTTGCAACCAATTTCACATTTGGTACTGAAAGTAAATTAATGCTTAAAATAATATTTGATGGGTTACACCGGGCAAGAGGGAGTTTCCATGCCGGGCAGACGGGGATGAGGACGCAGACGGGGTTTGGACCAGTTTGTGCTGTTCCCGCACCAGCTCGGGCATTTGCGGCAGCACGGGGCGATGGCTGCTCCTCGTTTTCCACGGCTGATCCCATGCCACGAATTTCTGCTGGCAGGGGCTTGCCCATGGGCGTTAGGATGGCAGGTAAACCTGAGTCGATGTGAGAGTCTTTCCAACCCAAGACATTTGCATCTTTATGGGAGCAAAAAGAGGTCACCTCTGGGGTCCTTTATGCGGCACTTGTTAAATGGAGTCTCAAAGGCACCATGGAAACACCCTCCAAAACATCATTTGCCCCAGTTTTTCTGAATAAAAACATCACTTGGGGTTGGATTTCAGTTAAAATCAGTACTGTTTTAATTAAAATGCTTCAAGAAGTGGGTTTATTTTAAAGCAAACACACGCTAGTTTCCCAGAGGGCGACTTGCCTGCGCTGTGCTTGTCCCTGCCCACCCTGCCCGTGCGGGGCAGCTGGGTGCCAGCTCCTTTTTACCGAGGGCAACGAGACCCTTGTGCTCATCCCAACCCTGGTTCCATGTGGATACGTGCCGCGTGATGGGTCCCTAGCTGCAGGAGCCCCCCCCATCACGCTGGGAGAGGGGAAGCAGCTTCTGAGCCTCCCAGCAAAGCCCTAGGGAATGGGGCCAGTTGCAGCTGGGGGACTTGGGATGCTAAAACCATCTCGGGCAGCAGCACAGGCAGTGGCATGGAAGGAACCACCCTCTGCAACTTCCTCCGCAGATGCCACCCGTTTGTATTTCAAAAGATAGTAGTAATCGGAGAAAGTGCGGTCGGTCCTGAGGGAAGGTGTGCCCAGGCTCCTGGCAGCGCAGATCGCAGGCGCTTCCCATGTAATCTTGCTTTCCTGCTAATCAACGAAGCTTGGACTTTTTTTTTTCTCCCCCCTATTGTAAAATGTTCGTGCAAAGAAAAGAGCTCTTGGGACCACATCTCTGCCAGTGGCTTGTTGTGTTGGGCTTAAAAAAAAAAAATCAAACAGTACAGGCAGAGAAGAATATTATTTCCAGGAGAGCTCCAGAGCTGAAATCCCCATTTCCTGCCTTCTCACTCTCGGTTCACATTCCTTTGGCTGCCTTTTAAGGGAGAAAGAAGCCCCTTTGCAGCTGGACCGCAGTGAGGGAATCTGCCTTCGGCACAGCCGAGCCGGAGCCAGAGGAAGAGCAGCGGGGCTGCGGGATTTGGCAGTGCTCCATCTGGATGGTGAAAGCTGGTCCCGAAATTCGGAGCTAGTGGCTCCTGCTCACCCAGAACAATGGAGAAGGGGGTTGGGTTTTTTTTTTTTTGGTTGTTTTTTTTATTTGGTCCCCCTTGCCAGCTCCTTGCAGCCGCAGCTGGAGATGACCCACCCAGCGCCGGCTGGGCTACATGCACCGGTGCAAAGGGAGCTGCTGCCGTAAAGGGAGACGCAGCCTGGGTTTGGTGGGCTCAGCAGGGCTGGATCAAGGCTAATCCACCCTTTATCTCCTGGTTTCTCTAAAATGCGTTTGCTTTGTCCAAACAGAGGAGCAGCGGTTCCCAGCACTGCACCGAGCCGATCCAAAAACCCACTCAGCCACCGAGCCTGCACGGCAGGACCTCAGCGCCCAGCTCACGCTCAGTGCCTCCTACTCTCAAAATATTGGGAACTTTGTACAAAAACCAGTAAATAAACAAAATATGTTGAAAAGCAGAGCTCTGGGGAAGGCTGAAGATTTTTGGATGGGGCCAAGGTGAGGGTTTTCCTCGCTTTGCCACCTTGCACCGGAGTGTCTCCTGCACTCGTAATCACCTCGAGCCACCACAGATCTTAGGCGCCCTCAAGAAGAGAGAAATCCCAGTTCTGTTAAGACTTCACCTTCCCTCCGGTTTTAAGGAGGATGTTTTATTGTGAGGAATGGGAAATGATGGCCAGTTCAGCAGGGCTGTCTTCATATGCCCCCCAATGCCCTCCCCTTCTGCACCATTAAGCATTTTGTGGTGGGGTTTGAATCCCTTTTCATCTGCCTCTCCTTCCCCTCCACAATTTCTGCCCGGTTTCTCCTGCAGCGAGAAATCCCCCAACCTCTGCCAGCAGGGCTGAACAAGGGCCGTTCCCATCGTGAGCTGTAAGTGAGAGGCGGCCGTTGGAGGGAGACCTCCTTGGCCCAGGAGATGTCATTATCCACGGGAGACCTCGTTATCCAAGGGAGACGATGCCACCTTTCCCACCAGAGAGCAGCTGACTGATTCCCAGGGAGCAGGGTGGGAAATCCTGGCTAAGAAGCATGGCTGAAAGGAGCCCCTGCTCTTGTGGGGGTGTCTTAGCGTCAACAGGGAGCAGATGGGAGCCGTGGCATTTGTCTCCACTTATCCAACATGTCAGCTTAGCTGCAGTACCAAAGCTGGTGTGACCCAGCTGAGATGGCCGCGGCTGGTGCGTGGGAGGTCGGAGACAGCCTGCATAGCCCAGCTGCTTGCCTGGCTCCTACGGAGGGGATTTCTGATGTGGCTTCGTTCTGGAGTAGCTGGAAATTGCCTTTCATGACAGTCATTTGTCTTTGAGCCATTGGGTACAGCAAACATGTTCTGCTTTCTGCTTGGCTAGCTAAAGAGAGGAGCGTGTAATGGAAGAAATGATGTGCTTGTAAACGTTTTCTCAAGTTCAAACTGCTCCATTAGATCTGGGCTGCTGTCTTCTCACTTGCTTCATGAGCAGCACTCAGTATTTCACATGAGTCGTTCTGAGTGTTGGAGTAAAGACCCCGTTTTTGCAGCATCGCTTGCCCGGTGAGCTGCCCAAATGTTTCCATTGCATTCTCCTCCCATGCAGTATTTCGTGGCAGACTTTTGCAGCTGAATATATTGCACGGGGATGAAGTAGAAAATCCTTCATCTGGAGAGAAACACAATGGGTTATTTGCACCGCCTAACTTTAGGCTCCTTTCTCAGCTGCTTCTTTTGGGAAAACTGGGCTGGCAATTGGGGAACGGCTCCTTCCAAGGGCTCTCAGGACTTTCCACCTGTTCTGTAGAGCAGCCACTTCGCTTCCTCCTCAAGTGCAGCCACCAATGTAAGGTACAAACAAGACCTATTAATTGTCTAATTGAAACTCCCAGAGGAGCTTAAAGAAGAAGAACTTAATTAACCAGCCTGGAGCCTGGCAGAAACGCAATGTTTCCTTCCTAAGTGCCTAATAACCAGCAGGGTTGGTGCCTTCTGCTTTCAAACACTGGGTGCAGAATGTTTTCAATTAGTCCTTTCAGTGGAAAAAAAATGGATTTCTAGCTAAAAATAATCCACCTTGCCTACCTTAGAAAATCTTGCTTGCTGTAATTTAAAAACCATTCAAGTTAGGTCAACTTCCCAAGGAGGGGAGGTTGGCTGCTGCTTTCTCCTCTTTGCAGAAGGCACTCCCCAGCTAGACTTCATTTTCCCGAAGATTTAACATGCCAGCTGTGAAATGAGGATAATCCTTGCTTTGGCTAAGCAATAAGCTCCTCGAGGTCAGACTGTCTGTGTAGCACCTGTGGTTTGTGAGACCTGGGTTTTGACTCCAGGTTTTGCAGGACCGTGGGGGAGAAGGCTTCCTTACCTCTGCGTAACATAACCACCTCGATGTGTATTTTTTTTCTCACTAGGTCTCTGGAAGTTCGTTATTTCACGTACGGGATCCTCTTCGGCTGCGGCAGCTCCTTTGCCTTCCAGCCCTCGCTGGTCATCCTTGGTCACTACTTCAAGCGCCGCCTTGGCTTGGCCAACGGCATCGTGGCCGGCGGCAGCTGCCTCATCTCCGTGCCGCTCCCCTTCTTCCTGAAGATGGTTGGGAAGGCTATTGGGCTGGCGCATACTTTCCAAGTACTCAGTGCCTTAATGCTCATCCAGATATTCTTGTCCCTGACCTATCGGCCCATCTTGCCACCTTCTTGTGACTCTCAGCAAGATGGGCAGGACAAGTTGGGCAGCCGGAGCGTGCGGCAGCAGTGCTGGTCCCAGACGCGCAAGTATTTCAACTTGAGGGTTTTCCGGAGAAAGACCTATCGGATTTGGGCTTTTGGGATCGCTACTGCTGTCCTGGGATACCTCGTACCTTACATGAACCTGGTAAGAGCCTAGGCTGGGACTGGAAGGGGAGGGCGGTCGCATTGCCCGGAGTGAAAGGGCTCCTCTGTGCAAGTGAGGAGGAGGTGGGAAGGTGGAGATGGGCAGTAAGGACAGAGCCATCAAAAGCCTCAAAGCTAAGAAACTGCTGCAGGCACGTCCTGTAAATAGGAATAGTGATGGGAGGAGACAGCTTTTTAATGCTCCTGTGTGTCCTCTGTGCCAGGGTGGGCAGAGCTGTCGCTTCCCGCAGCTCCCAAGGACAAGCATCAGTAGCAGGAGAGAGGAGGGGGCTGTTGGGTTTGGGGTGGGCAGAGATGGGGTGGGCAGGTCAGCGTGGTGCAGACACGAGGTTCACACAACCACCCCCAAAGCCACGAGCCCTCTGCAGGAAGTCTCATCCGTTTCTGGGATATGAGAAGGATTAACTTACTGAGGATTCACGTCTTTGTATCCTTCCCTCCATCCTAGGTAAAATACGTGGAGAAGCGATTTCAAGAAACCAAAAAGGACTGGATCCTCCTGGTTTGCCTCGGAGCCATGTCAGGGCTGGGGCGCTTGGTTTCAGGCCGCATTGGTGATTGCATTCCCGGGCTGAAGAAGATTTATCTGCAGGTACGTTGTGTCTGACCCTCCGCATAGCTGCTGGCTAACCACTGCGGGTCAGGGGATAGCATCTCCACATCCGTATTGACACTCTGCTTAGTAACTGTCAACCACAGATTGCAAATCCTTTACTGACCATTACCTAACACCCCTGTCTGCTGTTAGGGGAGAAAATTTATGAGAGAAAGGTGTACAGAGAAGTTACACACTTGACCTGAGGTCTTGGTGTCTGTTCAGCAATCAAACTCTGTGGTCCCAACTCTTCCCAAACTGCTGGACACCCTCTCCCCTTCTTGTAGTTTTTGAAAAACGAACTGCTGAAATCTAGCAGCTAATCCAGCAGATAATCCTACCTAAAGCTTCTTAAAAGGTTATTCTTAAGGGCCTCTCTGAGAGGAGAGCAGAGGATGGATGGCACTGCTGGGTCCAGAGGAGGCGATGTCGTTGACCTGTTCAGCGTCACCTTCGTGACACTTCCTGCTGCCCATCCCCACTCATGCTGCACCCCAGTGACGTAGAATCATAGAATCATTTAGGTTGGAAAAGACCTTCGAGATCATCGCGTCCATGCCCGCTTTTGTCTCCCCAGGTTGTGTCCTTTGTGCTGTTGGGCATCCTGTGCATGATGATCCCCCAGTGCCGAGGGTTCGAGGGCGTCATCGTCATCTGCCTCTTCCTCGGCCTTTGCGATGGCTTCTTCACCACCATCATGGCCCCCATCGCCTTCGAGCTGGTGGGGCCCATGCAGGCGTCCCAGGCCATAGGGTACCTCATGGGGCTGATGGCTGTGCCCATGACGGCGGGTACGCCGATAGCAGGTTGGTAGCACCGCGGTGCCGGACCTGGACCCAGCTGCCGAGAGGGAGCAGATGCTTGTAGCGGCTTTCACCCGTGGTGATATTTTGGCGTGAGACCAGACATACGGTTTTGAATTTTCTGGCTTAGCGTGTCGCATGGGGGTTGAAGTACGGCTGTAGCATCACTCCATGCTACGTCCCGTAGCATCTCAGGGCCTTTCTCTGGGCTGATGAAAGGTGTCCAGCGGAGGAACAGTGAGAGTGACCCAAGATCACATTAACTGCTTTCTGTTTGAAGCTAAAAATTGGCAAATGTCAGTTTTCTAGAAGTCCTTTTAGATATCTGGGGACTGATTGCTAATTGCTAAGTACAGCCCCTGGACTGTTGAATCAAAGTCAGAGATGGAGACAGCCGCAGCTCTGTCCTCCCAAGACTTGGGTATGTGTTTAAGCGTAATAATAACCACAACATCCTTAACAGCGAGCACTTTATCGAAGCTGGCCCTTGAACAGCAGAACATCTGCATCAGCAATCGCTAAGCTAAAGCTGTAGAAACGCCTCTGATCTTTCTGCTTCTGGTGGCAAAATTCAGTTTAACGCCCTCGTGAAGGAACGTGGGGCTTGCAGATGTCTCACTGTTAGGGTGCTGCTGCAGGACCCCTGCATCGGGCTGGCTAGGCACAGGGCTGGGTGAAGGGGCTCATTTAATGGACATGATCCCCAGGCAAGTGTCTACGTAGAAGAAAACTCAGAGGGATTTTCCAGTGCCAATAAATGGCAATGGGTTATCCTCCGAGGCTGCCTGGCTGTGTCAGAGCTTGCTGAACCTCATTGGTTTTTAAGTGATTGGTTATTGTTTGTAACTGGCAGCATGTATTTTTCAGCTGACATCCCCATGTAGATAAAATATCCATAAGCAAAGCAGGGCTTCCAGGTGGAGGCAACCTGCAGAGGAACAGCTCCTGTCTGCTTTTCCTATTACCTCCTGGCTGGCAAGGTGCTAGGAAGAGCCACCTGAAAAGTTTGGTTGTTTAACGCTGTCTCAGCTTGCGTTTGGGATGTGTCCTGTTCTGGTGAGATGGCTGAGGCTTTCCTTCTTGGCTTCCTTGCTACCCAATGTTGGCTGTGCACATCCTTTAATCCTGGGCATAATAACTCCTAGGAATGCAATGGAAAAAAAGATCATTTTATAAACCCAAATCTCCCCAAATCTGGTGGTTGAAGCGAGCTGCAGCTCTCACTCGAGGGAGGAGAGAAGTCAGTCATTAGACTGACGTGGCTATAACCGCTGTTCTTTTTTCTCTTTCAGGATACCTCAATGACTATTTTGAGAATTACGATGCAGCCTTTTATTTTGCCGGAGTCCCCCCCATCATCGGCGGCTTGGTGCTCGCCGTCGTCCCTCTGGTCCATCAGAGGATGCTGAAGAAGCAGCGGCTGGATTCTGGCAAAGACAAGATGCTGGTCTCGGAGGCGGTGGTGAACGGGGAGCTGCTGCCGGGCTGTCCTGCCTCCGAAGCACACATGTAACGCCTCCGCTCGCCGACACTCGCTGTCGCCACCAGCAGCCTCTCCATAGCCCAAGCACAGGCCCTTTTCTAGACGGACCGTTAATTCTCCATGATCGCAGATGCACTATGTTTGTAAAGGAAAAAAAAAAAACCCCACAAAAAGTTCTTCTAGTTAAAGGCTTTTAACTAGCAGAAATGCTCTTTTTCAGGACGGTTTTGATTTTTTGATTTCAAAGCCACCTTTGTTTTTTTCCCCCCCCTAACCATTTTTCTAAGGAGAACTCTCACCAGGATTCAAACTTGATCGATCTCCCGCTCCTCACCCCAGTTTTCTATACGTCACGGCAGAGGTTTACAGCTAATAAATGCCTTTTTAAAGCAGGCCACAGATGGAGCTTGTTGAACCTTGCAGGTGTCCATCCTTCTCCTCTGGTGTCACGTCCAAGCGAGACAGCCCCCTTCCCGTCCAGCACCAGAGGCTGATTTGGAGCCAGCAGATCTGAAGGAGGAAACGCTGCTTCAGTCCAATGCACAAACCAAATAAATGGTCGGCGAGTCCCACTTTAATCTTCTTCTCTCCTCCTTTTTCGCTGCTCTCCCACACACCCAGGGAGCTGCAGCTGGGACGACGGGGAGCTCGGCCAGCTCCGGTCCTGCCGCCCTCGTGGAACAGAGCCGCGTGGGAGCACCCCCTTCCTGCAAAAGATGCCTTAAAAACGCATGGACAAGACCAGCAGGTCCCTCAGCCGCTTTCCACCTCTGTTTTCTCACCCAGCGACTGATCGGGCTTTTAAGGTGCAAAAGAGAGGGGCAGCTCCCAGCGCAGCCCACGGCGGCTGGCTCTGCAAGGCGAAAAACCGTGGGCAAGCCGCCGAGACGGGGACTTCGGAGGTGCCGAGGCACGCAGGGTCAGGACAGAGCCCCACGTGTCACGGGTTCGCTCCGTGCCGGGAGGTCGCTTCCCTGTGCCCAGGGATGCGGGGATGCGGCCGGCTCGGGGCACCCGCGGATGCGGGGATGCAGCCGGCTCGGGGCACAAGGTGCCACCGCTCTTTTTTGGGGGCCGGTTGTGTATTATGCAGCAATAACCATAAGTCAGTATTGGCAGGGGAAGCCCGGTGTTTCCAAAGGGTTTAAAAGCCCTGGCAGCGTTTAACTCATAGCCCGTGCGTTGCTGTGCAGAGCCGGTGCGGGGTCAGTGCCGTCCCCGGGGGGAGAGGGACAGAACTCAAGAAAATAGTACAGCCCATGGGTACCCACCACACAGAGCAAAGGCAGAGCTCGGCCTTGCGTAGAAATTTGTCATCTCCAGGCATCGCTAATGAGCGTGGTACAGAGCAAGGGACGTCCTCCTGTCCCGGTGGGTCCCCATATGAATGAGGTACCAGCTGGGACCAGGGTACCTTTTCCTGGGAATAATAGTCCCAGGAGAGAGCAAGAAACAAAGCTCACATTTATCCTGGCTGCAAAACCATCCTGCGTTGGATTTTCATTTTATTCACTTGCCATTAAAAAAAAAAAGAGAAGCCTAAAGAGGGACGTGTGCCATGGGAATCATCCCTCGGTCCCTGGGTGAGTGTGGGGGTTTGTAACACCAAGACAAATTTTTGCTGTGGAAACTTGGTTTCAGTGGAGGACCCCTCCCGCGGGCAGCGGCGGGACCTTTGTATATAGGCTCAGGATCCTGCATGCCCCTCTGGCCCTGTTTTTATTCCACGTTGGCTAATGCATTATAAGGTCTTGTGGTCTTGTAGCCCTTCTGTCCCCGTACAAGCTGAAAAATTAACTGGTGTGTTGTGACATGTCTGTTTATGACTATAAAACGAGATGTCCGTTTGTCTCTTTCTTCGATACGCTTTCCTGTGACTGTTATTACCCTTCATTGCCCGTATTGCATCGTCTGCTACGGCTCTGCTGACCCAAAGCTTGGTTTAGGAAGCCACGGGAGGCAGCAGGAGCCGCATCGGCAGGCAGGGCATGCGTACACCCGTGCGTGGTGGGAGCCGAACCACCTTGCTCCGGCTGCGGTGGGATCTGCCAGGCTTAGCCTAGGGCAGGGCATTAAAGTGATGCTTTCCAGGTGGGAGCGTCGGCAGTGGGGCATCTCCAAAGCCATCTGACAGCTGAAGGAACGAAATACATTGCCTCGTAACTCTGTAACTCCTTTGGTGAGTTTTGGGGCTTTTAGTCACATCGGAGTTTGATGAAGTTCTTTAAATCTCATTTTTGACCTTAATGTGACCGAAGGAGAGCTTACAAGGGATTTAAATTCAAGAAGTAGCTTCTTCAGAGCAACAAGAAGATAAGCAGAGCTGCCTCAAACCCACGTCTGGCCTGAGCGAGCGGCTGCACGGCAGAGCCCACCGAGGACCACCCAGCTTTGCGTGAGACTGTTGCAGTAAAACCTCTCTGGCTTATAAAGCGATTTATGCTTCAAATCCCAAATTTCTACAGATTTCCACTTGCCTTAAATGCTCCACCTGCCTGCAAAGGTCTTTGCCCCGGGAGGAGCCTGCATTCGGCGCAATGGGTGCTTAACGCTGCAGCGGCATCAGACCAGCTCTGTGTCAGCCGGGAGCCAGCGCTCTTCCCAGGAGGGATGCTGGTACCCACGCTCATCCCTGCTAAAGTTTGGTCTTTGCCCACAGCTTTTATTATCGCCCCTCTAGGAGATTTCGAGTGACGAGGTGCATTCATGGACCATCCAAGTTTGGTCGAAGGAATCTGCCCCTCATCCTATCCCGGAGCAATGTCTGGTACCAGGCTCCCAAAACCACTCTCGGCATCTTTGTCTAGTCGAGATCCTGCCCTTGGTCAAGAAGAGGGCAAATTCTGCAGCGGGGAAGGCATGTTTGAGCAACAGCAATGAGAGGTTTGCCTCGTCTGCAAACACAGATGGGAACAGGAAGGGCAAAGGTTGGAGCAGTCTGTCAACATAAAGGGGAGTATTTGGGGTTTGTTTGTCAGCTAAATGCTGCTGCTGTGCGTCTAGTCTGTCCCTTGAGTATCGGGCAGCTTGCAAGAATTTTTGCAGCTTTGCGGCATGTGAGAGGTGGGATTGTGGCAACCTGAGCATCTATAAACAGGGAGAAATTGCACTGGTCTCCAAAACATCCTTTTAACCTGTTGTAGTCTGGTGCTGTGACGCCAGATAGGTCCTACCTGTTGCAAAAAGCTTCATCCTAAAACCCCTCCTGTTTCTTCCCCTGAGGATCCGCGCATCCTACCCCAGCACTTCATGTCCTCCTCTGGGTGGGCGAGGGCTTAATGGGAGGCAGCGTTCACAGCAAAAACTACCTTTTACTCAGTTTTCTAATTAAAAAAAAACCCTGCGAGTGCCAGGCTGTGATTCCTGCCCTGCTCTCTTGCTCCGGGAGGGGAAGGTGGAGCCCGACACTCCAGGCTCAGGCGTTTCTGGGAACCAGTGAAGGCACAGGAGTGGGTCGAGTCCCTCGGGTGGGAAAAGGGTGGAAGGGAGCAGCTTTGCTCCGTGCCCGGGGTGTTTGGAGAGCTGCAGGCGTGCGCGTAGCCTTATGTAAGTGTACAGCAAGCGCGGGACGTGTCCCAGCAGCGCCCTGCTCGGGGCTTGGCTGGGGCTGCTTTTCTAAATCTTTAGCTTGAGGGTGTTCAAAAAGGAGTTGTTGTCTTTTCTTTTTTTTTTTTTTTTTTTTTTTTTTTTTCTTCTGCAGAGGAGTGAGGCGCTGGGTTTAACTCCTCTTGCTCTGGCTGAGGGATGGAGCGGGACAGCCGAGCTGGAAGGGCTCGGAGGGGAGATTGTGTTTTCAGCCTTTTGGGGCTGCCCCATTGATGGGAAGGCTGGCAGGGCAGCGGCTGCGGGAGCTACCCGGGAAGTGCCATGATTCATGGCTTAGAGCTTTTTCGAGTTTGAAACAAAGCTGGAACCATCTGCGGGAGTTGCTGCATTACAGTGTGCCCTGCCCTGAGGTCCTGTGGCCAGGGAAATACACGTTTCTAAGTCGCACAGCTTAAATTTAACAAATTCTGGCCACTTGCTGGCTGGGGTTGAGGTTTCCTAACATTTCCCTGCTGTGGGAGCTGTGGGAAGGCCACATCCTAATTGCCATCAAAGCTTGAGGGCTTTTGCAGGTCTGCTGCGGTACCGTGGGGTTGGGAGACCCCCAGTTTCAAGGCGTTTTGGCTCTGCCTCCCACCATCGTGGTGCTTTGGGGCTTCCAGTTTGGCTCCGCCAGCAGTTGAGGAGCTTCGTAACCCTCCGGGCTGCACTGCCTGGTCCGGAGAATTCGGGAGAGGGAGGTAGCCTGCAGCTGGGCAAGGACATTCCTGCCCTTCTGTGCAGGACTGTGCCGCAGGAGCATTTTGCACGGCGATAGCGGGTCTCTTTTGGCGTCGGTACGTTGGTGCTAAGAGCGATTTGCTCTGAGCAGTCTGATTCGGTGCTGAGGATCTCGTCTATGCTTGCTCAGATCACTCCGGTTTAGCATCTCGGGAGGCTTAGGGTGAATTTTAACCCTGGCTGACATCTGCGTCTATATGTGGCCGCACAGTCCTCAGAGTAACAACCTGCATAAAGGTGAACTTGGACCAAATCCTCTGGACGCAGAGGAGGACAGATCCAGCTGAGAGCCTTGCCGTCCCTCCATCCTTCACTGCAAACTGTTACCCGGCTTTCATGTGCCTCTGTACCCAACAGTTTTGTTTGGGGGTTACCTTGGTTATTTTAGCTTCAATAATTTTCATGCTGGCGGAGTTTGCTTCTCCTTATCCAGCTGGAAGCAGAAAACTAGAACTACTTTGAAAGCCCTGGCTCCTTTGCCACGGCAAGCCAAGCAGCCCTGTCCTGCCGCTGGAGCCGCTGCCTTTCTGCCGCAAAAACCCGCACTCGGGCAGCTTTTGCAGGCTTGTTTAAGTCTCAGCCGCCCTCATAACCTTTTGGGAGAATGACATGATTGACAAGCACTCCTTAAATACTCCAACATCCTCTACGTAACACCAATGGGGATGGAGCTGCCACCGTAGAGGGGCTCCACCGGCAAGCAA